CTACTACAGTGCCTCTAAATGCCTCTACATAGTTAAGCAATTATACCATTACACTTCTATCTGTTAAAAAGTTATAAAAGGGAGCCTTTTCCCCTTCTACTCAAGTTAGAGTTTCCTACCTTCTCATAGAAATTAGCCCTACTCTTTTACCCTTCTTTATTTGTAAAATGTGATATTCCCCCTCTAGAGTAATTCTTACAGACAAGATTATCATCGTGAACTATTATTAATAAATATTATTGTCTATAAATTGTTATTATCTCAAGCTATTTGCCTCCTGCTATAAAGTTAAAGTATACACTTCATGTCCACTCCATGTATATTCATAAAGAATATCACTGCATTGAGTAACCTTGTTACTTTGCTATATTTATACTAAGAAGGCTATAGTATTGTAACAATATAAAGAAGATGATAATGATATGGTTGATAATGTAATTGTTGAATTTAATGAGATATGAGAAAAGGTTAACAGCCGTATCACAAAAAAGCTTCAGAGATGAATTGATTTATTAAAAAGTCAAGAGCAGTATAGAGGTACATAGTTTTTGTTATCTGCTAAAGATGCAATATATGAAATAAAAAAGATGTTAGCGAAGTGTGAAGTGTTGAAAAATAGAAAAACATTGCCAAGAATGTGGAAAAATTATGACAAACAAATGATGTTTTATAAATTTACATAAACATATAATAAATTATAAGTTATAATACTTAAATAATTATTGTTTGTGCTATAATAATTGTATCAATATAAACCAATATGGAGGGTGTACTCAGTGTTAAAAATTTGGTATGCATGTATTGTTATTTGTACAAAATTAATAATGGGCTATGCAAAAAATTTTTTTGCACAGCATATTTGTGCTGAATTTTGACACTGCAAGTGTATTATAATAACTGCTAATATAGTAAGGTAAAAACCTTTTATTGGTTTAGTTATCAATACTGCTAACTAGATAAATCACTAAACTAAAATAGTACTTTCTACGTAACTATATTAAATGATTCTTCTAGTATACCTTTAAAATTTATACAATACAGTACCGCTAAAAAAAAAAAAAAACCTAAAAGTCATAAGTCATAATTGTCTCTAAAAAAAATAAAAATAGATTGAATAATAAAGAATATGAATTATCTTCTAACCGTTATTATAGACGTAGTGCTACAATTTGGATCAATTGATTAGTCTAATTATAAATAAAAAAGAAATATTTTGTAAAATGTATTCTATAATTACTTATACAGTCAACTCTTTTTATAATGAACTGAAAGTGCTGGAATAAAAAAAAGTTCGTATAGAAATTACAATATTTTTAAAACCTGTGGCACTTATTATACCGAACTATTGTAAAATTTCAAAACGTTGAGTTCAGTATATTCAGAGTTCATGATAGAAAAGCTCATTATATTTAGAGTTGACTGTATAATCTATTTGTCTTTGTGTCTGTTAATGCCTCTGAATAAAAAAAAAAAAAAGGGTTTAAAAATTTTTAAATATCAGGTATAGGTTTTTAAACTTTGATTTTTTAAAACATACATTACAATTCTAGTGTTTGGAATATTTCGAATTCTGGAGTTTGTAAGTGACAAAAGGCTCTTGAATACTAAAAAACCGTTAACGACGTTCTTATTCAGAGATAAAAAAAAATCAACGTAAGTAATCGTATTAATGACTTTGATCTGCGGGTGACGTTACACAAACACGGGGATGATCATCACGTGCGGGGAAAATTTTTGGGGGTGAGCTGCGTAACTTCTTTACATTGGCAATAATAATGAATATTAAAATTTTAACATCGAAAAAAGGTACCATTTATGAGTAAAATAAAAAAAATAAAATAAAAGGATACACCCAAAATTGCGGGAAATAATGCGATCTAAGTAAAATCTTTTTTTGTTGCACTACTTATGATCGCCAGTGTACTGTATATCGAGTAAGTGCGAAGTTTTAAACTTTGGTAATTTTACTATCTGCTATTTATTGTAAATTCGATAATTTTTGATTGTTCAATATTACATGACTTTAACCGACCCTTGAATCCCTAATTTTGTCTAGCTTATAATTCTGGTGATCGACATATGCAAGATGTACGTACGTACGTATATAGATTTAATAAAAGATAAACCGGGATTTTGACTAATGCTGTCTGTTACAACTTTTCCAAACTCTATTTAATAATTTATAGATTCCTTATAAAGCAATTGCTTACCAATCAAAGAATTTTTTTAAGCTTCAAAAATTATCAATTTGTAAACAAATATTACGTTTTTTATGGAATTGAAGATCCATAAAAGGGCTTAACGTTAAACCAGGTTTTACCGAAACTTTTCAAAATTATTATAAAGTTATATTGTTATATACCAAGATACACTAAAAAAAAAAAAAAAATGACAAGTGCTGAATATCTTAAAATTTCTCCTACAAATCTCAAAATTCTCAAAGAACAAGCAATAGATTGGGCACTATCTCATGGTCTAGTTATTCGTACCAATTCTAACTCAACCTCGACAACAGTTCATGCCCCAATTTCTTTGTTTCCATCGCCGTTTCCTAAGAAAGAATTCGAGTTTGCATTAGAGTTGCAACCGATTTTTAACTTGTTGTTTCATAAACTGTCAAAGGATCATGAATTTATTGAAAAAGTTATTGGAGAGTGAGTGTACATTATTAAATCTTATTTTTAAGAAGTTTTCATTGGATTGATTTCTATTTAATTTGTAGATTAACAAGCGTTGATGATTTCGTCGGGAAACTTTACGACATATATATCACCGTTAGGAAAGAAGGGATTACACAAGTAGAATACCTGAATTTCTAAGCGTCATATTTTTAAAAAAATTCAAGGCGCTATACTAATTATATATATATATATATTTAGCAAATTTCTCTAGGCTTGCATAGATCAGACTACATTTTACATCTGACTCCAAATTCCACTGAAGCGCACATTCAACAAGTTGAATTTAATACAATTTCATCTTCATTTTCTAGTTTATCAACGTTAACTAGTGAATTGCATAAGTATGTTATACCGTTATAGGTATTAAATGAATGGTTATTTATGATCAAACTTAGTGTTGCGGGTTAAGTTATTTTTAAAATTCGAAATGTTTCACCTGATGAAAATAAGTTTCGTCAGAGCGAAAGTTTCGGTTTAGCCCACAGCATTAATCAGGATAGATAAAGTAAGTAATATGATCTTAATACTTTTTGGGTTACCTTGATATCTTATTATTTAGATATCTCTTGGAATCAACAAAATATTTTGATGTATCTCCAACACTTAAACTTGATGCACTTCCGAAAAACGAAGCAATGATAAGTTTGCCGAAAGGCATTGCAAAGGCTCATCAACTTTATGGCTCTGAAAGGTAATATAAAATTTTTAATATATTTGTGTAGTCTATTTGCATAATAAGAAAAATTATTAACAAATTCTGCTTATCAAATATAGCGCTGTAGTGTTGATGGTTGTTCAGCCTGCAGAACGAAATGCTTTCGATCAACGATGGATTGAGTATACCCTGATGAATAAGTAATAGTTAGCTATTCTTTTTTCAATTATAGGTCATTTGAATATTTTCTAATATATATATATATATATTTAAAAAAAAAGTCATAAGATACATCTTATGCGTAAAACTCTCTTTGAAGTCCAACGTGAAGGAAAATTAGACAAAGATACTAAAGCACTAATTATGTAAGTTTTGAAGATAGAGCTACGAAATTGATGGTTCAATTTTGATTTATTTTTAATTTCTTATATTTAATCAGAGATAATAAAGAAATCTCAGTCGCATATTTTCGTTCCGGATATGGCCCCAACGATTATCCGACCGAAAAGGTAATAATATCTTCCATTTTTATATCAGCATATTATATATATATATATATTGCAATTTTGTATATGAATTTAGGAATGGAATGCAAGACTATTGATTGAGCGTTCAAAGGCAATCAAATGTCCTACCGTGGCTTATCAACTTGTTGGTGCAAAAAAGGTACAGCAAGTATTGGCTGTCCCTGGTGTTCTTGAGAGGTATCGTTATATATTTCTAGAATAAATTACTCACTGTTTCGACGTCATCTCTGAAGTATTTTATTTTATTCGATCAAATTTTTACAGATATGTAACTAATCCTTCAGATATAACTAAATTACGATCATGCTTTGCGGGTTTGTATCCGTTAGATTCTAATCCTGAAGGAGAAGCAGCTGCGAAACTTGCTTTGGAGCACCCTGAGCGATTTGTGATGAAACCACAGCGTGAAGGCGGAGGTAACGTATTTATTTCACTTATTTATGATAATATATCTCTATACTTTTATTTATTGATATATAATGATAAAATTAAACAGGAAACAATATATATACAAAAGATATTTCTCAAGCACTTACACGTATGACACCATTAGAACGATCCTCATATATTTTAATGGATTTAATACAACCTCCAATGATGAGTAATATTGTTGTAAGAGAGGGTGAAGTTATTCAAGGTGAAATGATTTCAGAGTTGGGTATTTATGGCGTCTTCATAGGAGGTAATAACGAAGATGAGGACTTAGTGATTAATGAGCTAGGTGGACATTTGTTGAGGACTAAGGGTAGAGAAACCAATGAAGGGGGAGTTGCTACAGGGTTTTCTGTCATTGATTCACCCTTATTAATTTAATCGAATCCATTATTAATATAATCCAATCAGACCTTATAATATGCCACTTTAAACCATTTACTATAAATATATAGAAAAAACCTCTATATAGATACGATTACCTATAAGCACATTATTAGAAAAAGTCACTGTAGTCCCGACATTGTGATTATAAAAGGGTCTGACTGTACTATATACTAATTTACTAATTTATTAATCTACACAATGGCTTTGTCATAATAAAAATTCCAGTAGACAATTCTAAAGAATGGTATTACTAATATCCAAAGATAAAAAAAAAATATAAAGTATTAGTTCAAAAGGTTAGAATAGACTAAAGAGTAATCAGACTTATAATATGACATAAAAGCAAATATGATTTTCTGAAAAGAGAGCTAAATAACTGAATGCTACCAGGTTTGGGCACCCATAGAAGTAGCTAAACTAAGATAAACCTGATTACTAAGCCGATAAGTAAGAAATTAAAAGTACTAAGTGTAGAAATTTACACTGTGAGATTAGAGACTTGAAACACCTGGTGTAGGTGAACTTACCTATCTCTTCATTGAGTAGGATTAAAGATAGGAACTATAGATGGGGCCGTGCTAGCTAGGGATGAAAAAAAAAAATTTTTAAACAGTTTTTTAGGTTTTTTAAAAACCTTTTAAATCTTTTTAAAACATTGACGTTGATAGAATTCGGTCGAAGCTAGAACTGCCGCTTCTGATTATTAATTTAGCATAAGCCTTCACAATTAAATTTTTCAAACGTCCAGACGCGTGAATGTATATTTATTTATTTATTTTTTGAAATATAGTATGTAAGATAAGTATAGTATTAGGTAAAAAAAACACCTGTTAATGCGTATTAATATTAAATTATAACGGTGAGTCGAATGCAAATGTTAAACAATAATTAGAAGAAAATAATTTAATTTATTATTTTCGAAATAGACGTCCAAAATTTTAATCAACCTTAATAGTACATACAAATAGTGGTATTAAACTTACCAACGAATTTTAATACACTATATACAAACTATATACTGTAAATTGTGGGTGGAAATGATATACATGCATACAGTATAGTCACTCCCATCTGTACCTTAAAGTGTCAATCCTATTATTGTAAGTTTCATCAGCTGTTAAATTTATCTTTGTCCTTTTAACAATTTCATGTAAGGACATGTCATCACTACAAAGTTGCTTAGTCTGATAATTTTTTGGCTCATCCTCGGTATTTGAACTCGCAGATCCATAATTATTATAATCAGCATTTGCACTGTCAAGATTGTAACTTTCACCTTCGAAACCATCTGAATTTGATTGTTCATCAATAGTCGTACTCGAAGATGGAGGATCTTTTTCTGAAATGATCAAATTTTCTAAAGTATTATATAATCTTTTCCAAATAAGATTAATATGCTGATCCGTAATATCTCTACAATATCGAATATCAAAATATCTCAAAGGAGCTCTACAATTAACTAAAAAAGAATCCAAAGCACGAAGAGTAAACATCCAAGGTGCTAAAATTTCCAAATGTTCCAAACTGGGCGGTAAAGATTTTCCTAATTGTGGCAGAATTGCATCAGCAACAACTTCCATATATCCCCAACTACTCACAACTAATTTATTTAATCTAGAACAATTATAAAATGGACATGATTGTAAAGCAAAGAAATGTGATTGATCAAGTTTAATAGCGAGTTCTAATAAGTCAAGATGATATTTTTCTATAGCATTTATGACAGTAGTTGTCGTTTCTGCCGTCATAATTATAGAAAGGTACATTAAAGATTTGCTCACATGTTGTAAAAGGGTATCAAGCAAATCTGGTTGGATGAAGCTGTTACCTTCGTATCCGTTCATTACAAATTTTTTAAGTTTCATAAAAGAACCGAAACGAAAAGGTTCCATTACATATTCTTGATGTCGACAATTATTGAAAACCAAATTTTCTAAGTTTATTAAACCTGCTATAGAATTCAAAGGATGCCAGAATCTAAAGTCAACATGATAGAATTCAACAACAGTCAACGAATTTACCTGACTACTTAATGAAGAAAATTCAACATTTTTTAGTCTTGAAGAAGGACTCCACCAAAAACGACCAGGATATTCGACATATATAAACTCTTTTAAATGTTTTTGAACATCAATAAGTTTAGATAAAGCTTCAAGTTCAGACTGTGCTCTCTCTGTACTCCATTCATCATTCATACACATACGTATAACTAAAGTTTCAATTTCATGACATGATGAGGCAGCATTAATAAAAGTTTGTTCACAATATTCATATCTTGCAAAGCAACCTAACACTTTAAGATTTGCGAAATTTTCACAAGATTCAGGTAGCGATGGGATATCCAAAAGTATATCATCGTCATCTAGATCACCAACAACATCTTGTTCATCATCTTCATCGCTATCACGATCACAATAGTCAGGAATTTCGTCAATAAGATCACTTCCATTATCCCAAAATAAATAATCGAATTTCGCACCTTTAACAATAAAAAGATTAAATAAACATTTTGCGATTGTTTTCATAGGGTCTTGACGAAAAGGTCGTTTATGTCGTAAATTATTAGGATCACCGTACCATATAACGGCGAAATCATATAAATCACGATAATTTAGTCTTTTTATAAATGATGGATAATTAAAAATTAGAGAAGATTGGTTGGAATCAGGTAATATAATATTGAATTCTTGTAAAATAAGTCTATCATCGATAGATATACAATCTATAGTCATACATGACCAATAAGTTTGTAAAAGGTTCGCAGAAGGATTAAAACGTTTATAACGAAATGGTTGACGCCATAAGACGGGAACTACTATTTGACACCAAAGACGGTTTACTAACAAGCAAGAATGTAATGTACGAATATTGTTTTCGAGGAATTCTACTATTTCTTCAATACAATCTGCTGGTATTGGCGGAGGAACCATTGTTAAAATTTAAATAGTATAGTAATTGATGAATATAGTATCGGTATGAGATTTTAGGAAAGATACCGATTGTGGATGTTCGATTTTAGTGATTTTATAGATCGCTTATTTTCCCACGATATTAAGTCTTACGACACCATGTAGATCTTTATTGACGGAAGTCAGCTGTTACGTATCAGGTATATATGATATATATATATTATTTATACTGTATATACGATTTTATTAATTCGGTACTACATATTGCTGTATTGTGATGAAATATTGAAATATTGATATTTATCTCACATTTCATAGCTTCCTTGTAAGAAGAAACCGCTTTCTTGCTAATACAATACTATTTAACTTATCTAATTTGTATGACTAAAGGAGCTAAGTAAAATTTCATACATTTTTTTTTTTTTAATGATAAAATATTAATCGAGATTCATGTCTGGTAAAAAAAAAAATATTGTATATTTTTAAACCGGATTGAAAAAAGTATAGATGCGCCATTTAGTGTTTGTAATCGACTCTTATTTATCTATCGACTTGACTAAGTCAATATTTAAAATTCGGCTAAGTCAAAATCGATTAATATTTTATCTTCGGAATTTATCGGAGATTTCATCAAATTTTTGTCGCGACTTTGTGTTCGTTGATTTTCTTTTCGGAATTTTTCCGGCTCCTACTCTTAGTACTACAGTATTATGTACTAAGAGAGGTAATGTATCGAATCTGTTGGTTACTTTAATAAAATCAACCAAGTCGATTTTTTGGAAAATCGGCTGACTAAGCCGGCTAAGTCGATAATATCGACTACAAACATTAGCGCCATTAGATGAATGCAAACTAATAAATTTACCGGAGATGAAGGACTTTAATCCGCAGGTTACATCAATTCTATTGCGAATTGTGATTAATAAAAGATACGCTCCTGGAAATTAGCGATATTGCGTCAGCTATCATCGTAACAATAGGGCAAGTGAGAAATATTAACCGAGATTCCTACCTATTGAAGCGACTACGTTTCTTATATCGATTTGTAGCTAGATCGTAGATTACAGTCGTACCTGGGTTATATCCCTTATTATTTGTTATTTAGTTATATCCCCCATATTTAAGCAAAATAAATTTCCTTTCTTTATATGTTTATACAGTATATTGAGTTACATCCCAACCTTACTTAAACCTCTCTAAATGCATAGCCGAGAAGCCTATATGAAAAATTTTGCATTTAGAGAGGTATTGCATTTAGGGAGGTAAAAGTCTGTGAGTAATATATGAGTTGGGGCCAAGTAAAGTCATACTTAAGAGGTTTCCATAGGCTATGCTATATAGATGGGTACATAGAATTTGAGCCAATAATATATATAATATAATGTGATTACTAAGATTAAAAGTGATTATTTGCTAGTGATTGTAAGATTACTTATGAGTTGCTTGAGTTACTTACCAGTTACTTATCAGTTACTTATCAGTTTTTATACGCTGTTTAAGAGTAAAGTAACCAAAAAACAACCCACATATGGGCGGAATTTTGATTCGAATTTTAATAATCACAACATTATGAACATTTCATCAATTGAAATTAAACTCTGCCATTGAAACCGAATTTATTTTTAGAAGCTAAAATTAATTTAACTGTTGAAATTAATTCGAATATTGAAAGTCATTAAATAACCTATTCAAGTTTCTACAATATTTATTATTTACCTTACGTATTAGTCTACAATTCTCATGTATAATCTATCACTTTGTTAATTGTTTGAATTGTATTACCGTAAAACGCCATATACAAGATCCGGGTCTGTTACATTCCACCAAATTTGAAACCTATAATAGACCCGTGGGTCTATTGTACGGATATGGGTCTGATGATCGGGGAGGTTTTTGGTGGGAGATCTGATAATTGGTGAGGTTTTTATGTGGGGGGTCTAGTACTAAGTGGTTTTGATTTATATAGTATATACTGTAGTATATCGCTGCATCGTGTGTTATAAATAAAGATGCAGACATTAGAACATGAAATAACATACTGCCGTAAGTGGGTAGCTACCCAATTATATACCGCTACACTTTAGTTATAAAAGGTTTGTTTGATGTGGATTATGGTTTTTTTTTTTTTTTACTCAAACCATATTATATACAACATAGCGAAGAGTAGGAATGAATTCGATGTTACCCAAGTTGAATTTGAGCTAGCGGTCTAACCAGTTCAGAGGCAAAGTGTGAAGGCCATAAGTTCGATTACAAAAGAACAACCCTTTTTTTATTATTATTATTATTATTATTATTTTTTTTTTAAAAAAAAAAAAAATAAATAGATAGATAAAAGAACCTGTGTTAAAGACTGATAAAAATAAATCGGTAAAGTCTGCGGCATTATAAAGAATCTCTTACAAATATATTTAAAGTTATCGTTATTGTGATATAGCAATCAAAAATTAATGAACATTTTACAGAATTATCTGGTTATTTCAATTTTTTTAATTTACCAATCTTCAAAAAACCTTATATGTCAAGCAATTATTTGTTCCCATGCTTAAGTAACTTCATCAGATTATCGCTATCGCTATGGTATAGTTGTCTTATTAGCATAATTAGCATGTGTAAAATTTACATTACCATTCTTTATATATAAAAAATTTACCATGGTTTACATTTTTTTGTGTTTTAAGTTTTTTTTTTTTTTTTAGCGAAAAGGTAATGGACAAATGTTTATTAAATTAACATGAAGGTATTAATATGAAATAATATATATTTAAGTACCAGAAAAATGGGATGTAGAAGAATGATTTTAAAATCCTAAGCAAATATGGGGTGTTGTCAATAGAAATAGCCCATTTTTACAATTTTTTGAAAAATGAGTTTTTAATAGATTCATATAAATTTTTACATGATTGGCATTTTTCAA